AAAGCCTAAGAAAGCCTAAAACTCCCAATTTTGCAGAGAGCCCGTCAACAAGCGGAAATAATGAAGCGGATACGAGAGCAGGCGAATGACGCTGAAAGAAATTGCAAAAAGCGTGAGATCTCCCCGACATCCAACTAACATTTTCAAGGTCCTCACAAAAAAACAAAAAAAATGCCACCGGTGGGATTCGAACCTGTGACCTTATTTTCGGAGTTCATGAAAAATTCCACTCGGCCATCTGGACACTTTTTTGAAAAATGCTTATAAATCGATTTTTAGGGGTTTCTAGGGGGTTTTAGAGGGTTTTAAATAATTTTCAGTCACTTTTAGAAGCCTAAAAATGAAGTTTAGGCCTGTTTTTGGTCTGTTTTTGAGCCGAAAACTGCAATTTTCTAGTCACAAACACCACAATATGAATTATGTCTCCCAGGACACACAATTTTCAGCACAATTATTTAGGTGTAGTGTGATTAGTGTGACTGATACAATGATTTCATTGGGAATGGGGGACAAGTTGAACTACTTTATACTGATAAGAAAACGAAATTTTTGGCTAGAAATGTGTCTGAAAATGTATAAAAAGGAGCAGTACTGATAAGAAATCAGGCTAGAAAATATGCTGAAATTATATCTAGTCTGTATTCTGGCAATTTTTGGTGAGTTTTCGAAAAAAATAATTCCAAAAAATAATATTCAAGCTCCGCCCACTTTTGGCTCGGACTGCAACCAAAAGCAGTTCAAATCGGGTACTGTATGCGTCTGTGACCTCACGAATTGTGATGAGATCCCAAAAATCGATTTGACCTCCGGACAAGCTGCCACGTTCACCACAACGAACGCTGGAGCGAGATTACATCGGGATATTGTGTATGCGACTAGTAGTGATCCAGGTAGGGGTTTTAGGACTTGAAAATTTGAAATTGTGATTAAAAATTTGGATTTCTCGCTGAATTTAAGCCTAGATGCAAGAAACTAGAATTTTCTAGAGTTATTTTGAAATTTTTGAGATTTTTTGGGTTACTGTAGCCCCAAAAGTATTAGGTTGGCGGGAAAGTCTTTGTCACTCTGTTTGTTTAATCACTGTTCTCGTATATGGAGGCTGTGTATGATATCGACTCTAGTGAATAACAAGGTGATAAGAACCTTCCATATAAACAAGTCCCCATCTCCTTCCCTGCTCCTCATCTGTAATTGAAACGATATGTTTGTTCCCACTGCTATTCACATCAGACATGTTTTGATTTACCTCTTCCTATCTCACACCACGATGAAAGATTCGGAAACTTTCTTGAAGAATGTGTACAACACACATGCCCCTCACTACAATACTATTCGCAATTGGTTCCATCGTTTCGAAAAAGATGACTTCTCGCTCGATGAAAAGGATCGCTCTGGGAGACCCCGTGAGTTGGATTTGGACAAGCTGAAGCACGCATTGCAATCGGATCCATTTCAATCTAGCCGTGAACTAGCTGTCACATTCGGAGTTCACCATAGCACAGTCCTTGAAGGTTTGAAGTCTCTTGGAATGAGAAAACTTTTTGGTCGATTCATACCTCATCACCTGACTCAAGCCAACCTTGACCGCCGAGTCGACGATTCGATTACTCTTCTCACTCTCCACGCGGGCGATCGATGGCTGGACCGGCTAATAACCGGAGATGAGAAGTGGGTCTTCTACGATAATCACCACAGGAAATCCCAGTGGGTTGGAGAAGGAGAGAGCCCACAGGATGTCCCCAAACCCGACCTTCATCCGAAAAAAGTTATGCTCTCTGTGTGGTGGGGAGTGGACGGCCCCATCTACTGGGAACTTCTGCCCGAGGGCAAAACAATAACTGGAGACCTCTACACTACTCAACTACGAAACCTCAAGAAAGCAGTCGACCGTTCGGCCCTGAAAGACAAGAAAGTGTACTATCAACATGATAACGCTCGCCCACATGTTTCGAAACAAGTGAAGCAGGAGCTGATGGGATATGGATGGAATGTTCTCCCTCACCCCCCGTATTCTCCTGATCTTGCTCCTTCCGACTATTGGTTATTTGGCGATATGACACGTGCCTTCGAAGGAAGAAGCTTCAATTCCCGTGGAGCGGTCGAAGCGGCACTCAAACAATACTTTGCCTCACGCCCGGCTGGATTCTACCGCAATGGAATCCATAAATTGAGGGAACGTTGGAGACATGTTGTTGATAATGATGGACAATATAATTAATTATTCGGTTATTTTTTCTTTGAGAAATAAACTATTGAAAAAGTGACAAAGACTTTCCCGCCAACCTAATACGCAAACACCGAATGCGAGCTTTTGGGCTAAAAATTGGTTACTAGACTAAATCAAGGGTGCTGAAAACGATGCTGGTATTGAGAAGCAATGAAAATGACTTTGAAGCCTAGAAAGCGGTCCCTGCCTTTGAAATAACCGCAAACACCAAGAAGTCGGATTTTCCAGATGATTTTGAACTTTTTCAAACGCATATTTGGAATTCTTATAAAATTTGGGTCTACATGCAAGAAACTAGAGCTTTCTAGCGTTACTTTTAACATTGTTGGGTTTTTCCGGGTTACTGTAGCTCCAAAAGTACGCAAACACCGAATGCGAGCTTTTGGGCTAAAAATTGGTTACTAGACTAAATCAAGGGTGCTAAACACGAATATGGCAAAGAAAATTTGGGAAAGTGACCTATAAGGTTAGAAAACAGTCCCTTTCTCAGAACTAAAAAAGTACGCAAACACCGAGTATACAGTTTTGTTTGAGGATTTTTATAATTTTTTGTGGCATATTTGGATTTCTTGTGAAATTCAGGTCTAGTTGCAAAAAACTAGAAGCCTCCAGCGTTATTTCGAAGATTTCCGGGATTTTTCCGGGTTACTGTAGCTCCAAAAGTACGCAAACACCGAATATCGAATTTCGAGCTGAAAATCGGGTTCCAGACTAAAGCAAGGGTGCAAAACACAAATATGACATTGAAATTGTCTAAAAATCATCAAAAATCAAGATTTATGCTCCAAAAAAATATTCAAAAAAAAAAGTCCGCAAACACCAAAAATGATTACAGTAACCTCTCTGCACTTGACCATTGACTCTTCTACCAAGTACCAAACGATTCAAGGATTCGGGTCCACGTTCTCAGATGCTTCTGGAGCCAATCTCAAAAGTCTTCCCGACAGACTAGCAGATACAGTAATCCAACAGTATTTTTCGGATTTTGGTGAGTTTATGGAAAAAAACGTAGAATTTGATTTTCTACAATTTGAGCCTAAAATCAACAAAATCCGCCTAGAAATAACAGAGTTATGGCGTTTGTTCAGTAGAGCGCATTTGCATTTTTTGTCATATCTCGGTTCAAAATTGACCGTTTTTGATGGAAAAAAATTGCAAATTGTAGATTTTTAAATTTCAAATTCAATCCAAAAAAAAAAAATATTTAGACATCTAAAAAAATTTACGCCCAAAAGTCTAGTAGATTTGCATCTCTCAGGTCTCAACCTACAGTATGCTCGGGTTCCAATCGCTAGTAATGATTTTTCAAGTCGAGTTTATACTTATAACGATGTTCCCGACGACTACAGTATGACGCATTTCGCACTTCAACGGGAAGATTATCAGTGGAAGGTAGGTACAGTAATCTACAGTAATCCAAAAAAAATTTCATCAAAAATTTTCAGATTCCCTACATGCAAATGGCCCAAAAATACAATCACGACTTGAAATTCTTTGCTGTTCCATGGAGCGCACCAGGTTAGTCTGGAAGTTCGGTGGAGCGTGCTTGCAGATATTCCAAAATTTCTGGAAAAAATTAGCAGGATTTATTAGCAATTTTACAGGCTTTGAATTGTGCCTAAAATCGTTCTATTAGGCCAAAAATAAACAAAGTTATAGCGGTTGTTCGGTGGAGCGCATTTGCATTATTCCTCATAACTTCGCTTTAAATGGTCGGTTTCAAGTCTACTAACTTCTATTTTGAGTGAAATTTTTGAGAGAAAACAGAAAATTGACATTTCAGGCAATCTGCGCTATTTTCAGAATTTCGTCCAATAGAGCGCATTCGCAGATTTTTTTGTTTTCGAAAGTTTGTATCAGGCTTGGTAGGAAATTTTATAAACTTAAAAATGGGCTTAAAATCATTGTAATACGACTAAAATGAACAAAGTTATAGCAATTTTACATTTTTGTACAGTGGAGCGCATTTGCATTATTCCTCATAACTTTGTTCAAAATGGTCCGTTTTCAGTCTACTAACTCGCATTTATAGTGAAATTAAAAAAAAAACAGAAAAATGACAATTCAGCTTTCCTGCTCATAGTTCTAGATTTTTGTCCGGTAGAGCGCATTTGCAGATTTTTCAATTTCTTCCAAAGTTTATATTATGCTTTTTTTGCAATTTCACAGGCTTCTAAACGCGCCAAGAATTGTTTGAATACGCCTAAAATGAACAAAGTTATAGCGATTGTTCAGTGGAGCTCATTTGCATTATTCACCATAACTTTGTTCAAAATGGTCCGTTTTAAGTCTACTATCTTGCATTTATAGTGAAATTTAAAAAAAAACAGAAAAAATGACAATTCAGACTTCCTGCTCATAGTTCTAGATTTTTGTCCGGTAGAGCGCATTTGCAGATTTTTCAATTTCTTCCAAAGTTTATATTATGCTTTTTTTGCAATTTCACAGGCTTCTAAACGCGCCAAGAATTGTTTGAATACGCCTAAAATGAACAAAGTTATAGCGATTGTTCAGTGGAGCTCATTTGCATTATTCACCATAACTTTGTTCAAAATGGTCCGTTTTAAGTCTACTATCTTGCATTTATAGTGAAATTTAAAAAAAAAACAGAAAAAATGACAATTCAGACTTCCTGCTCATAGTTCTAGATTTTTGTCCGGTAGAGCGCATTTGCAGATTTTTCAATTTCTTCCAAAGTTTATATTATGCTTTTTTTGCAATTTCACAGGCTTCTAAACGCGCCAAGAATTGTTTGAATACGCCTAAAATGAACAAAGTTATAGCGATTGTTCAGTGGAGCTCATTTGCATTATTCACCATAACTTTGTTCAAAATGGTCCGTTTTGAGTCTACTATCTTGCATTTTTAGTGAAATTTAAAAAAAAACAGAAAAATGACAATTCAGTCTTCCTGCTCATAGTTCTAGATTTTTGTCCGGTAGAGCGCATTTGCAGATTTTTCAATTGCTTCCAAAGTTTATATTATGCTTTTTTTGCAATTTTACAGGCTTCTAAACGCGCCAAAAATTGTTTGAATACGCCTAAAATGAACAAAGTTATAGCGATTGTTCAGTGGAGCGCGTTTGCATTATTTGCCATAACTTTTTTCAAAATGGTCATTTTCGAGTCTACCAACTTGCTTTTTGAGTGAAATTTTATGGCAAACTTTTTGATTTTATTTTTGTCAACATAGCACGTTTGCTTCTTCTGCAATTTCCGGTTTTTAGGCTGGCTAAAAACGACCAACTCGACTGCGGGATACGGTAGCTTGTTGGGCTCCAATCAAGGCACTTATCACAAAGCCTACGTGTCCTATCTAATCAAATTTTTCGAGGAATACAACAAACAAGGAATCCAATTTTGGGGGTTGAGCACTCAAAATCAGCCAACCCTTGGGTCGGATAAAAAGACCAAAATGCAGTCGATGCTATTCACTGCTGAGACACAAAGAGATTTCATAAAATTGGACCTCGGACCGGCTTTAAAAGCCTCAAGTGTCGCGAAAAGCCTAAAAGTGCTAATTATGGATGATAATCGAGGAAATTTGCCGAAATGGGCGGATACGGTATGTTGAAAAATGCCAAAAATAGCTTGAAAAGACAAAACAAAACTTTTTACCCCTGGTGGAATCGAACATTGGTGTTGAGATTTGTAGTCAAACCTGTTACCAACTAGTTCAAAAGTGAAAATTAGCTAAAATTGACGGAAATCGACTAAAACAAAGTGATCTAGGGTTCGAAATGTATGAAACAACACAACAAACGCCAACTTCTTATATTTTTGACGGTTTTCAAAAATTTTGGGACGTCCCAAAAAAAAAATTTCTCAAAAATTTGGAAATTTTTTTGCAAATCTAACTAGTTTAGCTTCATCGGGTTTGGACCATCCAGTACTAAGTTAAGACCCCCAGGCCGCGACGCAACACGCTACGCGTCTCAAAAAATGTGAAAATTGTCTGAAATATGCCAATATGGGGCTCAAAATGACGGGAATTTTTGAAGAAATACAATTATAAAGGTTAGAATCGGGGTTTTATTGGTTTTTCAGTTAAAAAATACAAAAAACTTCCAAAAAATTGGAAAAAAAAGTTATTTTTCTAGAAAAGGTGCTTTCAGGTTCTCAAAGACTCTGAAACTGCTTCATATGTTGCTGGCGTCGGCGTCCATTCGTATCAAGACGATCAGAGTGATAAGCATTTGATAGCAACCCATGAAAACCATCCGGATTATTTTATTTTTGGAACGGAGGTAAGCTTAAAAACCTTTCTAGACAAAGGAAAACAACTTTTATGGTCGTTTTCTAGTCCAAAACTAGAGTTTCCAAGGGTTTTGACCTAAAAAACAAGTCTGACAGCTATAACAAGCATATACAAAGAAAGCAAAAATAGAAAAATGGTTAACGCAGTCAGCAGGATTCGAACCTACGCGGGCAGAGCCCAATTGATTTCTAGTCAATCTCCTTAACCACTCGGACATGACTGCACACGAAGAGACGAGCGACAAGGCGTATAAGAAGGGCGCGGCGAGTATTGCCGAGTGGGAGACGCAGAGAAAGGGGTTAGAAGGCAGCGCTGGCGGAGAGGAAAGGAGGACACTTTAATGTCCCATAACTTTTGACACGTGGATTTTGGTAAAAAGTGTCAAAAGACAAAATTAAAGAGCGCAAAATTTCACACAGAATGATATAAAAATATGTGACTTCTGGGCAAAAAAAAATGGTTTCAAATTTTTAAAATTTAGGCCAGTGAGGGCTACAAAGCCAAGGAGCAATCTGTGGATTACGGTAGCTGGGATCGTGCCGAGGACTATGTGTCAGATATTGTTGATGTGAGTTTTTGGGTTCAAAACAGCCTTTTTGGCTCAAAAAGGGCCTACTTTTGTCTAAAAAAATGCCCGAAATTCCAGGACTTGAACAATTGGGTTGCTGGATGGACCGAGAGGAATTTGATCCTGGATGCTCAGGGTGGACCATCATGGGTTTCCGATTTCACAGATGCACCAATTATTGCCTTCCCAGCATTGGCTCAGTTCTACAAACAGCCAATGTTCTACGCGATTGCTCATTTTAGGTAAATTCAACATTTTCTATAATTTTGAAACATATTTTTGAAATTTAGACTATTCAGAATTGTTAGAATCCTAATTTCAAACATTTTGGTGCAAAAACCACAAAAATAGCTTAAAAACTAACCACGTTACAGCGATTTTAAATTTTGTTCGATGGAGCGGATTTGCAACTTTTTGCAGTTTTTGTGGTCGTGAAATTAAATTTTAAACATTTTGGTGCAAAAACCACAACGATAGCTTAAAAACTAACAAAGTTACAGCCATTTAAATTTTTGTCCAGTAGAGCGCATTTGCATTTTTTGCTATATCTCAGCCCGTCGTGATCCGTTTTGAACCAAATAAATTGCATTTTGAGCAGAATCATATGAAAAATCCAAAAATGTTAGTTTCAAGTTGGCCTCATAACTTTTGAAAATTAGTCCAATGGAGCGCACTTGAAATTTTTGCCTATATTTGATAATCAACAATGATAAAACATGAAAAATCTTATACGAATACCTTTGGTGTCAAAATCACTTTTCTAGCTTGAAAACTAACCAAGTTACAGCTATTTTAGGTTTTGTCCAATAGAGCGCACTTGCATTTATGTCTATATCTCGGCTCTCCGTTATCCGTTTTAATTGAAAGAAATTTCATTTTCATCAGAATCATTTGAGAAGTTTAAAAATGTTAATTTCAAAGAGATCTCGCAGATTTTAAGAAATAGTCCAATAAAGCGCATTTGCATTTTTCAAAGTTTTCAATAGCAGAAATATGCGAAATTAAATACTTATCATTATGACGCAAAAACCAGTAAAATAGCTTTAAAACTAACCGAGTTAGAGCAAAAGTCCAGTAGAGCGCATTTGCATTTTTCTCTATATCTCGGCTCCCCGTAATCCGTTCCAAACCAAATAAATTGCATTTTGTGTGGAATTTTTCGGGGATTTTTATCAAAATAAAATTTCAGCCATTTCCTAAAACCCGGAGCCGTGCGAATCGATCATTCTCTCAATGTACCAAACTTCGACATTCAAAAAAGTGCATTCTTGAATCCGGATGGCTCGAAAGTGGTGGTCCTTCAAAATAAGAACATTCTGGCGTCCTATGGTATCAGTGTGAAGGATTCTCAACGGTCATCAGATCATTATCAAGTTCATATGGGTCCAAGATCGATTGTAACTTTGTATATTCAAAATTAGCTGTTTTTTAAATTATAAAAATGTTAAAAATATCACATTTATTGGAAAAAATGAGCAAAAAATATATCAAAATTGGGGTTTTTTCGGTTTTAAAAATTTCAAAATAAATTATTTTTTTTTCGAATTTTTCACATCAATGCCAACGTCTCCTGCCTTCTGAATTGTCGATAGAGCGCTTCTGTCTCCTCGTTATGAATTTCGCGGGCTTTTTCTTCCAAAATCGGGCTCACTGACCGTTTTGAGAACGTTGGAGACGATGATGGTGGTCCAGGTTTTCTTTGGCGTGGCGGGCTGTTGGCGTTTACCTAAATGTTTTGGTTGTTTTAGGCTGTTTTAAGTGGCTAGAGCTTGTTAAGAGCTTCAAAATGAATATAAGCAAGGCTAGGTTTCCTGAAAGTTCAAAAATCGGTCTTTTCGGGCCGAAAATAGGCTCGAAAAGGCTAAATTTTCAAACCGAGGCTCGTTTAGACTTATTTTGAAGCTCCTGTGAAGACGAATCTAGTGATCACATTCAGAACTCTTTAGGCCGACAAATTTTGATTTAAGCCTTTTCAGGCCGGCCCAAAAAGCTTGAAACTTCATTTTTCCAAAACCTATGAAAAATATTAAACTTATTTTGAAACGTTTTACATGACAAATTTGGATTCAGGAGGTTAAGAGCTTCAAAATGAGTACAATCATGCCCAGGTTTGGTGAAATTTAAGTTTTGGGCTTTTTGGGCCGGCCCAAAAAGCCTGAAAATCTAAATTTGCAAAAAAAAAAAAATGAAAAGTATCGTACGTTTTGTGAGATATTTTGAATAACAGACATTGCAAAAACTAGTAAAAATGGAACTTTCTGGCTTATAGGCCGGCCCGAAAAGCCTGAAACTGAAATTTCATCAAATATGGGCGATATCATACTCATTTTGAAACTCTAAACGTGAGAAACTCAAAAATTAAGTACTTTACCAGAAATTGAGTTTTGGGCTTTTTGAACCGGCCCAAAAAGACTAAAACTGGAATTTTGCCAAGCAGAACAATATTTTCCTATTCAAAAGCATTTTTAATGACAAACATTGAAGAAACTGATAAAACCGCTTAAAGTTAATTTTCAGGCTTGTAGGCCGGCCCAAAAAGCTTGAAACTTCATTTTTCCAAAATCTATGAAAAATATTATACTCATTTTGAAACGTTTTACATGACAAATTTGGATTCAGGAGGTTAAGAGCTTCAAAATGAGTACAATCATGCCCAGATTTGGTGAAATTTAAGTTTTGGGCTTTTCAGGCCGGCCCAAAAAGCCTGAAATAGGAGTTAGACTATTTTGACCTTCACTACTGAAATTGTGTCTCTAAACGCTCTGACATCAATTCAAACCAGTTTGGGTATCTGGAAAATTTGGAACTTTCAGTTTCGGGCCATTAAGGCCAGCACGAAAAGCCCGAAAAGGTGAAATTTTCGAAGCTAGGCTTGGTTATACTCATTTTGAAGCTATTGTCAAGCAAAATTTTAGTGGTCACATTCATTGAACGGTGCAAATTCATCTTTGGGCTTTTTAGGCCGGCCTGAAAAGCTCAAAACCCAATTTTCAGGAGATCTAGGCATGTTTATACTCATTTTGAAGCTTTCAACGAGTTAAATTCAGTTTTTAGCATTTTAAGAAACTCACATCATGCATTGGCGGTGTATTTGGGGCTCTACTCGAACCATCACTACTTTCATCATCTACATCTTCATCGTCATTCTTCTGTTTCTTCTTATTTTCGGGGTTATAGGCCATATTCGAAGAGTTTCCCATGAATTGATTGTTTCGTTCAAACACCCAAAACGTTTCCATCACTCCTTTTCCCTGAAAACCTTCATATTTTTTGGGCCTGAAAAGGCCTAAAAAGGCCTAAGAGGGGGCCTACTTTTATGATGACATCTCCCCTGGAAGCGGTATTGTATTGATTCGGGTAGTGTTTCATGAGAAGTGTGTAGGCTGCCGCACTCAAATGGATGTGAGATGCTGAAAACAAATTTTAGTTGGTTTAGGCCATTTCTAGGCCAGGTTTAAGCCGAAAATCCAGATTGCAGGCTGATTTGACAAATTTTAGTCATCGTAGTCAAACTCGCCTCTTTTAGAGCTTCAAAATGAGTATAATCATGCTCACCTTTTGATCAGGATTAGATTTCGGGCTTTCCGGTTCAGGCCGAATCTAGGTCATTTCAGGCCGGTTTTCAAACATAGGCATGATTATACTCATTTTAAAGCTCTCAAGGTGACAAAACATACAAATTCAGTGATAGACAATGTAGGCTATTTCTAGGCCAATTTCAGACTAAAAATCTCAGGGTTGCGACGGGCCGGGCCGGGCCGATTTTCTAAAAACTTCGGCCCGTCTGCAAACTGTAAAAAATTTCCACTCCGAATTTTCCACATGTATGTTCGGGACTGTAACTCAGCTCAAACTCAACCGATTTGAATGAAAGTTTTTTATTCACGTTATCAATTACCCACTTGAGGTTTTAATCCGGGATACAAATTTTTCATGAACCGATTTATTTTAAAAACAACAAGAGTAACAAAAAAAAAACAAAATGCCCGAAAATTTGATTTTCAGCATTTTCAGGCAAAATTCTGAATTTTCGAAAATTTTCATTTTTTGGAATTTTTAAAATTTCTTGAAATTTATTAAAATTGTGCTTGTTCCAAGTTTTCGACATAAAAAATCCAAAAAAGAAATCAAGAAGCTGAAACTACAGTAACCCGAAAAAACTCAAATTTCCCAAATATTCCGATCTTGAGTTCAAAAATTGACAAAAAGTTAAAATTTCTAAAAATCCACAAGAAATCCTAAAAACTCAAAAATCCCTAAAAAAACAAATTTTCGTTGTTGTTTTTCACCCGTTGGTGCCTATGTTCGCTCAAAAAATTTTTCATCAAAAAATTTTTTCTCTGAAAAAGCTATGGACGGGCCGACGGGCCGGGCCGGGCCGGAAATTTTTTCTGACGGGCCGGCCCGTCAATCCGCAACCCTGAAAAATCTAGAATCACAAAACTTAGAAGTTCAATTTCAGTGAGTTTTGGCTAATTATATTTAGCACATCCAAACTTTATTAGCCGAGAGCTTCAAAATGAGTATAATCACGCCTGTCTTTTAATAAATTTAGGATTTTAAGCTTTTGGGCCGAATTCAAGCCGAATCTAGGTCATTTCGGGCCGGTTTTCAAACATAACCATGATTATACTCATTTTGAAGCTCTCAACTTGGCGATTCCGAAAATCAATATCTCAACTCACGTTTTCCATTACTCTCCATCCTAGACGCAGTGTTAACCGTATCTCCAAACAGACAGTACCGGGGCATACTCAGGCCCACAACTCCAGCCACACATGGCCCACTGTTGACTCCGACACGTAATTCCACCTTTTCCCGAGGCAAATGTGGGATTTTAAACGCTTTACAGTATGCCATGAAGTCCAAGGAGAGCTCCACAATGCATCTAAAAATTGGGAGATCAAAAAAAATTTTTGGATTACTGTAGCTCACTTAATATGAGCATTTCCATTTCTTTGAGGCAATCCAGACACACAAAGATAACCATCACCAATTGACTCGACTTTATAGACCCCGTGCTCCTCGATGATGGCGTCAAAGTTACTGTACAAGTCGTTTAGCAAATTTACAACCTGAAATAAATTTTGAAATCTGAAGAACCATAAATTGGGAGTATGATGTTTGCATTTGGCAAGGTGAGAGTTTTAAAATGAGTATAATCATGCCTATGTTTGATGAAAAATGAGTTTCGGGCTTTTTAGGCCGGCCCGAAAAGCCCAGACACAAGGCTTGCAGAAGTTAAGATCATTTTTAACAATTACTACGCATTGTGTTTTGCCAGGAACTATGTAATAAGTAGAAACAAGCCTAGCTTCGAAAATTTCGGGTTTTAGGGCTTTTCGGGCCGGCCCGATAAAGCCTTAAACTGAAAGTTCACCAAACCTAGGCTTGTTTGTACTCATTTTAACGCCTGAAATACACTAAATTTGAAAATGTAAGTTAAAAAATCTCAAATTCTCAGGTTTTCTCAGAAAATCCAAAATTCTACCTGGAACGGGGAGCACTTTTGGGACAGCTGCGTAAATTTGACCACGTCCGAAAAGAATACAGTAACCGAGTCAAATCCTTCCGGCTCCACAGTTTGTCCTTGTTTCAACCGCTCTGCGACTTGTCTGAAAATGCACTTTTTTTGAAAATGAACATTTTGGGTTTTTAGGCTTTTTTAGACCGGCCTACAGGCCTGCATTTTTGTGTATCTTGAATTTTTGTTGCAGATTTAAATTTTCGCTCAAATTTAGGTCAGGACACAGAAAAGTAAAACTTTCTAGCGTTATTTTGAACATTTTTGGTATTTTTCGGGGGTACTGTCGCTCCAAAAGTACGCAAACACCGAATATCGAATTTCGGGCTGAAAATTGGGTTCTAGATTAATTGGGACCCGTAAAATCCGAATTTGACACTCCCAGACTTCAGTTCTAAAGTCTAAACCCACTTTGGGAGCATTCTTCCGAGTAATACGTCCGCTTTCTTCTTTTCCGCCGTCAATTCTTTGGTTCTGTCTTCAACTTCGACTTCCAAGTTTGTGGTGTAGTCTTCTAGAATATTGAAGACGTGGTCCATGAGATTTCCTTTTTTCGGCATCATATTTTTCAGAAGATTACAGATGATGTCAGCACCAGGACGGTCCGTTGGGTCTTCACTCCAGCAGTCACGGATTAGAACTAACTGGAAGAATTAGGGTTAAGGATGAGCAATTGAAAAATGTCTAGACTTCAAAAAAAACCAAATTTCAAAAAATCAACATACCAAACTATGATTAATCTCCACACCATCCATGTCCAAATCTGGTCTGATTGAGTTTGGACCCCCTTTTTTGATTCGGTATACGATTTCTGAAATGATGAGCTTCAAAATGAATATAAACAAGCCTAGGTTTAAGAATTTCGGCTTTAAGGGCTTTTTTAGGCCGGCCTAGTTGGCTCGAAACTGAAAACTTTCATTTTAAAGATGCATACTCTTGCTTATCAAAGACACGGTTTCTTTTGCAATGTTCAGAATACGGTAAGTCATGTTTTAGGCTTTTTGGGCCGGCCCGATAAAGCCTGAAAATGAACGTTCACGAAACCTAGGCTTGTGTATACTTATTTGAACGCCCAAAACGTTCCAAAGTCAAATATCTAAGTTATACTCTTCTAAATAGTAGGATTTTCAGAAAAAAAACTAACTTAACGAATCCAAAACCCAAATAGGCCGGCCTACCGGACTCAATTTTTGGGATTTTTGTAATTTTTCAAAGAAATTTCGATTTCACACAAATTTTAGGTTTTAGGTGCAAAACCTAGAAGTTTCTAGTAATATTTCGAAATTTTTCGGTTTTTTTGGGTTACTGTAGCTCCAAAAGTACGCAAACACCGAATATCGAATTTCGGACTGTAAATTGGAATCTAGACTTGATCAAAGGTGCTAAACACGTGGAATTTACGTTTTGAAGCAAGAAAAGTAAAACTTTCTAGCGTTATTTTGAAAATTTTCAGCATTTTTCAGGTTACTGTAGCTCCAAAAGTACGCAAACACCGAATTTCGAATTTCGAGCTGAAAATTGGGTTCTAGACTAATTCTGACCCGTAAAATCTGAATTTGACATTTTCAGGCCTCGATTCTCAAGGCATCAGGCCCAAATAGGCTTACTTACCATCGACGGTATCCTTTCTTTCCGACATATTCCAGGCCTCTTTCCGTGTCAAAACCTCTGAAGCGATTATAGCCAATGAGTAAATGTCGGCTGGTTTTTCGACTTGATGAGGTAGCAAAGTGCCACGTATCACTTCAGGTGCCATCCATAATTGCCGTCGTTTCATTGGTTTTTTCTCTTCCGCCAAATTCCCCAGTCCAAAATCCGTCAATTTCGCTTGCCATGACTCATTTATCAGTACAGTACCACTTCGAAGATTCGCATGAACGTGTAGAAAACTGTTATGAAGATATTTGAGTCCTTCGGCCATGTCTCGGATGACACAGAACATGAAAAACGGGTCGATCGAGAAGTTTCCCTGGCCGATGATGTCCTGGAAAGTGGAAATTCAAACTTGGGACGTTGAGAGCTTCAAGATGAGTGTAATCATGCCGAGGTTTGGTGAAATTGAAGTTTCGGGCCTTTTCGGGCCGGTCCGAAAAGCCTGAAACTAGGATTCTACAAAACCTGTACCATAATATTCTATTTCCGCAGCTTTTTGCATTACGAAACTCACAAAAACTGAATGAAACCAAGAAAATTGAATTTTCAGGCTTATAGGCCGGCCCAAAAGGCCTGAAACTTGATTTTTGAAAACCTGTGCAATATTATACTTATTTTGAAGTGTGTTGCATGACAAATTTGGATTCAGGAAGTTAAAAGCTTCAAAATGAGCACAGTCATGCCTACTTTACCAGAAATTGAGTTTTGGGCTTTTTGAACCGGCCCAAAAAACCTATAACTGGAATTTTGCCAAGCAGAACAATATTTTCCTATTCAAAAGCATTTTTAATGACAAACATTGAAGAAACTGATAAAACCGCTTAAAGTTAATTTTCAGGCTTGTAGGCCAAAAAGCTTGAAACTTCATTTTTCCAAAACCTATGAAAAATATTATACTTATTTTGAAACGCTTTACAAATTTGGATTCAGGAGGTTAAGAGCTTCAAAATTTGGGCCGGCCCAAAAAGCCTGAAAATCTAATTTTGCAGAAAAAAAAAATGAAAAGAATCGTACGTTTTGTGAGATATTTTGAATAACAAACACTGCAAAAACTAGTAAAACCATGAAAATGGAACTTTCTGGCTTATAGGCCGGCCCGAAAAGCCTGAAACTGAAATTTCATCAAATATGGGCGATATCATACTCATTTTGAAACTCTAATCGTGAGAAACTCAAAAATTAAGTTTTCGAAACCATATCCTGACCTGCAAACTGCCTCTCATGCACATTTTCCAAACAGCCAGGTATTCTGCGCCGTCAATCGATAATCCCACAAACTTATTGATGTTATCATGGTCCAATTTTCTCAATTTCACAAAAGTATCGTAATCCGTACGGTCCAAATTTGAAGCAGGATGGGCGGTACTTAAAACTGGCTCCTTGTCCAGATAAAAAATGGAATAATTTGAAAAAGTGTTGTCAAACGTCATCTTTGAAGTATCTGTGATATTTGATGGTCCAGACTGAATTGATCGCTTTGACATTCTCTCCTTTTCTCGTTTAGGTGGGACTTGCAGTTTGACTAGTGGAATTTGCCATTCCGCATCTATCCGGTCCCTCTCCAGCTTTCTCTGGCTGAAAATTGCTTGGCTTAGTTGAATTGAGCTTGCTCTGAGCTTTAAAAAAAGTATAATCATGCCTATGTTTCTATGAAGTTGCGATTTTGGGCTTTTAGGCCGAATTAAGGCCAAATCTAGGTCATTTCAGGCCGGTACTGAGTACCAGGGCATGATTATACTCATTTCAAAGCTCTAGATGTGGAAAACGAGAAAATTTTGTTTTAGTCAATTTTGGTCACATTTAGACCCATTTCAGGCCCAAACTTTGTATTTAATGACTGAAATTCTCAATTTCAGTGAGTTTCGGTCGCATCTGCTCAGTTTGGTCAACTTTTTCTTGTTCAGAGCTTTGAAATGAGTATAATCACGCTTATCTTCTAATGAAATTGAATTTTCGGGCTTTTTCGGCCCATTTTAGGCCAAATCTAGGTCATTTCGGGCGAATTCTCGAAACAGGGCATGATCATACTTATTTCAAAACTTTCGACTAGCCTAATTTGCTTAGACTTATTTCAAAGGGCCTTACCGTAGTACATAGAAAAAGCAAGTGATCAAAAATAACATTGCAAGTGCCAAAACGCCACCAATAGAGAAAACCAGTGCTCCATACTGGTCCACAAACGTTTGGGGACACTCGGTGCCCAAGAATCCGCAAATTGGAATTGTCAGTGGTCTTTTCCCGTTATACCAGAACCACAGGGAGGCTTCGTTTGTGTACCCCAAGGAGACACTCTAAAAATTTCAGTATTAGAAGGGCTGGAACTTTTTGGGCAGGAAAATTTGAAATTTGAGAGTGGGATAGTCATGCTGAGCTAGTTATGCGCTTTAAAATGAGTATAGCCAAGCCTAGGTTCTATGAAATTTGTGTTTTGGGCTTTTCGGGCCGGCCCAAATGGCCCGAAATTCTAACTTTGCTCTCACTGGTGCTTTTTAAAGCGTTTTTCTGTTAATGAAATTTCATGAACAAGCTAAAAACTGAAACCCAAATTTTTGATTTTGAGCTATTTAGGCGGGCCTGAAAAGCCCGAAAACCCAAAATCATGAAACCTAGGCATGATTATACTCATTTTGAAGCGGTTTTCAAGCCCAATCCAGCAAAAATACTCCCCACCGCTCCACCATCCAGAGAATATGTCAAATTCATGAAAGACGCCTGATCGTAGTTCTCATTAAGCGCATAGAGCATCAATTTTGGCACTCTGGTGTTGTTGGCGTTGATTGAGACTTCTCCGGTGAGACCTAAAAATGTTAAAATGTTTTTTTTTGAAAAAAATTGAGCTGAGCAATCACCAGCAAAAGTTAATTGCATCGCATCGTTGATGGCTTGTCCGTTGGCCAAATTCACTGGATTCGTGTTATAAATATTTGTGATTGCTAGTCCGTAAAGATAGAAGACGTCATGTAGACTTCTAGCGAAGGCGGATGGTGGCTGAAAATTTTAGAAAAAATTTTTCCAATTTTTTTTCAAAATTACCGAAGTCGACGCATTTTTACATTGCTCAGTTTCACAGGAGACTGGTGGATTAACAACCTGAGCACCACACTGGCTGGTAAAAGTGTTCAAATAGTTGACATCTGGGACATCCGTCGAGAGGTCCATCTGAAAAATGGACCATCAAAACTAGTTTTATCCAATTTCTCTTGAAATTTCCATTGTTTTGAGCCCTACAATACTCTGAGAGTCATCATTTGGGACCTAAAAGTATTCTTATCAAATTCCTCATCAAATTTCCAAAATTTGGAGCCCCATATTGCCTATATGTAGTGAGTTTCGATTTTCGACCGGCTCGACCGCCGCGGTCGGTCGAAACTCAAGATCGACCAAATGTAGGCAATATGGAGCTCAAACAAAGGAAATTTTATATAAAGTTTAAAATTTTTAAATTCCGACGTTTTGATCCCTAAATTGCTCAGATTTCATCACGTTCGATTTTCGGGCCCAGAACGTCATGGCCCGTTAGGTCTAAAAGTAGAAGTTTAGCATCTGAAAATGATCGAATCAAAATTTTCACACAATTTCCATCATTTTGAGCCCCATATTGCCTATATTCAGTTAAGTTTTAATTTTCGACCGTTTCGACCGCCGGCTGTCGAAACGGTCGAAAATCAACGTTTTCTGAATGCAGCAATATGGGGCTCAAAATGTCAGAAATTTGATATAACACTCAATCTTATTAATTTCTCTTGTTTTAAGACCAGTTTTAGCTAAAATCGGGTATTTATGATTTTTGGCCTAAAAATTCAAAATTCAAAAATTCAAAAATCTTTGTCTAAAATTGATCAAATTGTCTGTAGTGACATTTTTTGAGTTTCTCATGAAGTTTCTGTTATTTTGAGGCCCATATTGCCTGCATTTGGTGAACTTTGACTTTCGACCACAGTGGTGCGGTCGAGTTGTGGTCGAACGTTTTTGGACGGGGAAAATGACATTGTTAGCATTTGAAATGTTCTGTGTCGGTTTCCATAAAGATTTGTGACACTTCAATCCAATTTAGATCATTTTTGGCTAAACATTTGTTTTTATGGCCGACCGCGGGCGAAAAATAAATTGATCATTATAAAATTGACCAAATTAGGCTTTAAAAGTAATTAGATATCAAATTTCTCACAAATTTTCCATCATCTTGAGTCCCATATCGCCTATATTTAGAGAATTTTGATTTTCGACCGTTTCGATCGACCGCGGTCGAAATTCAAGATTGATTAAGTATAGACAGTATGGGGTTCGAAATGACAGAAATTTGATGACCAATTTTAAAAATGACGAATTCCAGAGTGAAATTCGATTTTTCGGGTCGGGCCTAAATCGGCCTAACTGGGCCCGAAACAGCCCAAAAGCACACAAACACTACTACTCTTCAATTTTCGATTTTACCGTTTCCGGAAGGTCCATCTGAAAAATTTTCAAACTTTATTAATGGGGGTCTAGGTGGGGTACGGTAGCTCAGCTACCGTAATCCTATGATACACTCACTACCAGCAACCGCGTAGCTGCCAATTTGGCGCGTTCATTCCAACCATCATCTGGCAACACTTCCCATACTGGTGTCAATCCGGAGGATACTGTAATTTTGGAAAAATAAAAGTTTGTTGGCCCAAAAAGCCCGAAAATTCAAATTCAGGGGAAAAATTAGACATCGGACTTTGTTTCAGACGGACACTTTGGACGGAAAAAACTAAAAACTATGAACTACAAACTGCAACAAAATTGAAAATCACAAAACGACAAAGGTGGATATATACTTACAGCAGTTCAACTCACATTTCGTCAGTCCTGCACTCTGTTTGCCTGGAAATTTTAATTTTCAGATTTTTTTCTTCAGATTTTGATTTTCAGATTTGGAATCTAGCATTTTCAAATTTCTCAGGCCGAGAGCTTCAAAATGAGTGTAAACATGCCTAGGTTCCCAAAAAGGGCCTAAATAGGCCAAAAACGGTCTAAAAAGCATGGAAACTGAGTTTCATCGAACCTATCCTTATGTATACTCGATTTGAAACTCTCGATTTGTAGAATCCAATTTTCAGCATATGATTCAAGTGAGATTGAGTTTCAGGCCGAAATGGGCCGATTTAGGCCGGCCCAAAGAGCCCTTTTTTTTTTGAGGAACCCACCAAATCCAATGCTTCTCAATCCCAGCCAAATGTGCACATACTCATCACTGACCATATTTTGCTCAGTGATCATTCGGAGGTATTTTCGACGAGGAGTGGCTGTTTGGATAACAGCAACAACGACTGAAACTTTTTATAGTCTCGTTTTCAGGCTTTGAAGTTATTACCAAAAGATTTGTCTTGTCGAAGGCTTCAAAATGAGTATAATCATAGCCTGCTTTAAAAAGTTGGCCCGAAATGACCTAGATTTGGCCTGTAATCGGTCTAAAAGCCCGAAATCTCTTTTTCATCGGAAGGTATGCATGATTATACTCATTTTGAAGCTATCATCATGCCAAATCCAAATAATTTAGTCTCGAACCCCCTACTCACTCCTACACCGAGATTTGATCCGATTCAAAACCGAAATGTACTGTGCATCATTGAGATCTCCACTTGGAACGGCCTGTTTGACCACTACATTCACTGAGTAGTCCTCATATTCATTGATTGCAGTCTCCACATCATTGATAATTGATAAGGGGTAGTCCTGGGGGCTGGTCTCGTATAAAAGGGCCACCCGGTCCCAATCCATCATTTCGAATAACTTGACCAAAGAGAAGCCCAAGCTAAAATTGGATTTTTGAAAGTGGAACCATTGATCTTGTGAGGTAAAGTCCTTGGAAATGAGTACAAACGAGCCTATATTCCGTGGAAATATGGTTTCGGGCTATTTAGGCCGGACTAAACGGCCCAAAACTACATTTCATCAAACCTAGGCTTGATTATACTCATTTTGAAGCTCTCCACCTCAGATATCTATTAAAATATATTAAAATTTACGATAAAGAGTTTGCCATGATATTTGTCAAATATGGATATCTCTCGGCATCGGTAAATTTGGAATCTGTGACCAATCCCCATGCCAAAAGAGGTGTTGTATAGTACGTTGCCATGGTGGCCATAATTTCCATAGCTTAAAAAAACGATGATTTTCAAAAAAAGTTGTGTTACTGTAGCTTACGATCCTGACACGGCGCCCCAATAACCACATCATATTTTTTGCTACGCATAAATTCCATGCCCACAGCCGCGCCAAGACTTCTATCGCATTCCGTATAGTTCACATTGATTCTAAAATGCGATTTGTGACATTTTGAGCTCCATATTGCCTATATTCAGTAAATTTTGATTTTCGACCGTTTCGACCGTGGTCGAAATTCCAGATTGACTAAGTATAGACAATATGGGGCTCAAAATTTTGGAAAATTTGGTTTGATAAACTTTTTCATGAAATTTCTAATGTTTTAAGGCCCATATTGCCTATTTTTTGTCCATTTTGATTTTCGACCGTTTTGACCGCGGTCGGAATTCAAGATAGACCAAGTATAGGCAATATGGGACTCAAAATTGTAGAAATTTTGGTCGAACCAAGTTTCTTATGACATTTTTATTCTTTTGAGCCCTGTATTTCCAATATTTAGTAAATTTTAATTTTCGACCGCTTCGACCGCGGTAGAAATTTCAAGATTGTGTGAATGTAAACAACACGGGGCTCAAAATTTCAGGAATTTGTATAGAGCCATAAAATTTCTAACATTTCGAATCTCATATTGCTAATATTTAGTGGACTTCAATTTTCAACCGCTTCGACCGCCTCTGGCGGTCGAAATTGAAAATTGACCGAATATAGCCAATATGGATCTCAAACGTTTTCAAATATTGAGACAAATCCAGTAGAAACCCCTAAAAATTCTATAATTCGTATTTTTTGTTGTTTTTTTTTCTATTCCTAGAAAAAATTTCGTAGATCACTGAAGCCATATTTTTTGTGTTTGTTTATTCTGGTTTCTGTGTTTTTCTTATCGAAACTCACTCAAAATCAAAAGCAGCTATAAAACCATCATCTCTTAACTTTTGAATCGCCAAATTTATGGCACCACCTGACATTGGCCATCCTATACTGTCAAGTTCGGTACTTTGAACCGCGGCCACGCCCACGCGGATCTGAAAATGAGAGATTTTGATGAATAATTTGAATTTCTCGTAAAATTTGGGTCTAGATGCTGAAAACTAGGTGTTTCTACCGTCATTTTGAAGATTGTTGGGTTTTTTGGGTTACTGTAGCGCCAAAAGTCCGCAAACACCGAATGAGAGCTAGATGACTGAAACGTTGCTTCTAGGATGAAAAAATAGCGGAAAATTCAAATTTGACATAGAAATTTTATGAAAATTGAGCGGGATGTGCAAAAAATCGATTTTGAATTTTTTGCAGTTTTTGGGTTACTGTAGCTCCAAAAGTACGCAAGCACCAAATATCGACCTTCGCGCTGCAAATTGGGTTCTAGACCAAATCAAGGGTGCTAAACACGAATTCGTCATGGATAAACGGTTAAAATGACTTTTAAGGTCGGAAAACTGTCACTTTTTTGGAACTACTGAAGTACGCAAACACCGAACTAGCCAGTTTTTTTTTAAATTTTTTGACTTTTTTATTGCAGATCTGGATTTCTCGAAAAAATTCAGTTCTAGATGCAAAAAAACTGGAAGTTTCTAGCGTTGTTTTAAAGATTTTTGGCATTTTTTGGGTTACTGTAGCTCCAAAAGTACGCAAACACCGAATAAGAGTTAGAAGGCTGGGGACTTGCTTCAAGGGTGAAAATATAGCGGGAATTTTGAATTCAACAGTTAAAAATCACGAAAATCGTGCAAAATGTGTAAAAAACAGTTTTTCCAGCTTTTTTGGGTTACTGTAGCTCCAAAAGTACGCAAACACCGAATAAGAGTTAGAAGGCTGGGAACTTGCTTTTAGAGTGTAAAATTGCGGTAAATTTAATTTTGATGAGTAAATCTTACAAAAAATTAGCTAAAAGTGTGAAAAATCAACTTTTGGGAAAAAATCACTGACCGTCCGTCGATTGGCCGCTGGCACCGGAGTGGTTGTAGTTGTACTTGAGGTAATCTGAGCAATACTTGGCGAGTAGCCCCCAAATATTAGCAAAAATATTAGGTGCTCCATTCAGAAATTTGTTTCTGGAAAAAAAAATGTTCTGAAAAATTTTTTTCAAAATTATTTTTTTTTTTAGAAATTTTAGAATTTAGTCAAAAATGTTAAAAACGGAGGGAAATGAAAATTCGAAAATGTTAGATCATCAGACTGGGTCCTATGGGAAGCCCAAGATATTTGAAATATGGCTTCTTTTTTCGAAAATTTAGAAAAAAGTGTGATTTTATTTCATTTTTCGAGAAATTTCGGGAGAATGTAATTTTTGAAAGGCTTCAATTTTTGGTCCTTTTTTCCGAGTCATGGGGTTTTATATGATGTGACTAAGACTTCCTACGCACATCTATCTATTGACGAAATATAGGAAATTTCTTTGAAAAATTTTTTTGAGACAATACTTTTCTGGAGATGGCCAAAGTACATACACCAAGGGATTAATTTTTTGGAATATTGAAAATTTTCAATTATTTTAGGATGAAAATGGAATTTCAATTGGGATTCTGGTTGAAAATTTTCGAAAAATTTGGCACGTTTTCAGCTTCAAAATGAGTCTAAACAAGACCCAGTTTGCTTTATGCGTTTTTAAGAAAGTACAGTAATCCCGAAATTTCATTTTTTAAAATTTTTTTTAAAAGTTCGATTTTTTAGATTCTAGAATTTTTTTTTTAATTTCAGAATCCTTGAATCTTAGAATCTCAGAAAATTAGAAACTGTTAAAGTTTTGGAATTTTTTTTAATTTTTGGAATTTCTGGAATTTCAGAATCTCAGAAATTCAGAATTTGCAGAATTTTTAGAATTTTCCAAAGATCCGAAAAGTTAAACTTTCAAAAAAATTCAAAAATTTCAAAAAATCAATTTCAAAAAAAATTCAAAAAAAAAATTCCATTCCGAAACTTTAAAATTTTCCGCAAATCAGAAATTTCAAAAATCTCGAAAATTAAAATTTTGAAATTTTTGAAATTTCAGAACTTCTGAATTTCTTAATTTCTGAATTTCTGAATTTCCGAATTTTTGAATTTCCGAATTTCTGAATTTCCGAATTTCTGAATTTCTGAATTTCTGAATTTCTGAATTTCTGAATTTCTGAATTTCTGAATTTCTGAATTTCTGAATTTCTGAATTTCTGAATTTCTGAATTTCTGAATTATTGTACTTGACACTAGAGGGAGAAAGAGAGAGATAGAGAGACGCAGACAGAAAATCTGGTCTCTCCTTTTTGTCTTCTTCTTTGTCATTCAATCATCCAAACACCATCTCTGATGGTTGTCTCACCGTAGCGACACCGGACCAATCAAATTCTGGAATCGTAAATCTGAATATTCTGTAACTATATTTCGTGCATAATTTGTATACTTTGTATAATCCTTGTAACTCTGAAATTAGGTTTTAGAGTGATTTTTAGGCTTTGATAACATCAAAACGCTTTAAAGCCACAAAAATACCCCCAGAACCCTTTAAAATCCACTTTTTGAGCACTTTTCAAAAAAGTGTCCAGATGGCCAAGTGGGATTTTTCATGGAATCTACGGATCTGAAGGCCACAGGTTCAAACCCCACCGGTGGCAAAATTTTTGGTTTTGTGTGTGGACCACGAAAATGTGTTCTTATTCATTCACCAAGTTAAACATTATAAAAATAAATAAAAAAAGTTAAAAATATTTTAATTAAAAATATTTCTTCCTTTTCACAGAAGTTCTGGCCATAACTTCAATTTTGACAATCCATTTTGATTTGCACCATTCTTTATCGTTTTCCATTGTTTCCTCTCCCCAAATCATCATTTCCGATTGATCATTGATTGGAAGATATAGGCGAGTTCTGAAAAATTTAAGAATTGAAAGTTTTTGGATTTCTAAAGAATTTGTTAACTTTTATTATCAGTTTTTTTGAAATTTTCATGCAATTTCCAACTTTTTGAGCCCCATCTCGACCTATTTCGGACAATTTTTGTTTTCAACCGCGGCCGAAACGGTCGAAACTGAAAGTTGACCAAATATGGTCGATATTGGGCTCAAAATTCCGGAAATTTTATGATGAACTCAAAAACATTAGTTTCAAGCAGTAGGATCTCATTTGGAGAAAGTTCGAGATTTTTTGAATTCCGGATTTTTGGCGCCAAAAACCATAAATGTCCAACTTTAGCCAAAACTGGGTGGAAAACAGTGGAAATCGCTATTTTCGATTTTTTCATCAAATTTCCATCATTTTGAGCCCCATATTGACCACATTTGGAGTCGTTTAATTTTCGACTACACGTCTGCGGTCGAAGCGGTCGAGACTGAAAGTTGACCAAATGTGGTCGATATTGGGCTCAAAATATTGGAAATTCCATGACATACTCAAAAATATTAGTTTCAGGCAATTCTATCATTTTTGGAGAAAATTGGAATGTTTTTTTTTTGAATTTTGTATTTTTGGCGCCATAGGAATAAATGTCTGAATTTGACTGAAATCAATTTAAAACTGGTGGAAATTATTATTTCTGTATATTTCATCAAATTTCTGACATTTTGAGCCCCATATTGACCACATTTGGAATCGTTTGATTTTCGACCACACGTCTGCGGTCGAAGCGGTCGAGACTGAAAGTTGACCAAATGTGGTGGTCGATATTGGGCTCAAAATGTCAGAAATTTAATGTAAAATTTGAATGTTCTATTTTTAAACCATTTTGATTCCAAAAATTTCGAAAATTTTGATTTTCCAAACTCACCCTCTCTCCTCGGCTTGCTCAATTTTCCCAAAACATGTCAAAATCCCCTTCATTTTTTCCTCTTTCTCAAATCCAACACTCCAAACTCGTCCGATTTCCGGTTGCTCCATCCTCCAGCTCTCCCAAACTCTTCGGACAGAAAAATCACAAAAACTGGCTTTTGGCAGATGGATTTTCCGATTTTTCAGCCTATTCCAAATGAAAATCGTCATGGAATTCGAATTGATTATCAAAAAATCATTTTTTTGAATTATGGGGTCCGTTTCTGGCAGATTTTCGTTTAGAAAAATTCTCTTAATCCGGTGATTTGGGTCCAAAAATGGTCTTAATTGGATTAATGAGTTCCCAGTGGCATTGTTAATGATAAGAGTTTCAATTCTCAATTGCTCAGCTTTAATTGAAAAGTCTCCAAAGTAAAATGACCGTTTCGGGTGGGGATTTGGTCCCATTCCGGCCCTTTCCATGATGTTTGGGCCGATTTCAAAAGTTTTGATATCAATTTTCTCGGCTTCTCCAAAAATCTTCTTTGACAAATATTCCCGGGCCTTTTTGATTATCCGATTCCCATCATAAACCAGAAATTCGCGATTTTTCAGCTTCAAATCTCCCGAATTCTTGGATTTTTCGAAAAATTCCACTTGCAAAAATTGCTCAAACGGCGGCTCTTTTTGATCTTTTCGAAGTTTCCTAGCTGCCAATTCTTCTAGTTTTCTTGCTTTTTCGATTTCCGTCATACTGTGCTTTTTGAGGCACTCTTTTATAAATCCAATATATTCCGCGTCGCGCCCAAACTGGAATCGATACGACAGGCCGTAACGATCGAGATCCACGTTTGAGCCTGAAAAATCGAATTTTACAGTTGTTTTAGAGACCTGAAAACATCAAAAATGCGCATAAAACCCTCTAAAACCCCTGGAAACCGAAAAAATCAAATTTTCGAGCATTTAAAAAAAAAGTGTCCAGATGGCCGAGTGGGATTTTTCATGAAAACTATGGATCTGAAGGTCACAGGTTCAAATCCCACCGAAGCCAATAATTTTTGTTTGGTGTGTGGACCTAGCAAATGATAATAGAGCGTTTGGAATGTTAGATTTTTCTTGAAATTTTTGAAAATTTCGGACTGAAAAATTCAAAAAACCTAAAAATTTTCAGAAATGTGTTTGCAAGGTGAAAATTTAAGGTTTTATCCTCTGAAACATGAAAAATGCGTTTAAAACACTCTTAAATCCCTAGAAACTCTAGAAAATCCATTTCCGGAAAAATTTTGCAAAAAAGTGTCTAGATGGCCAAGTGGGATTTTTCATGAAAACTATGAATCTGAAGGTCACAGGTTCGGACCCCACCGGTGCGAAATTTTTTTTTTTTGTATGGACATAGAAAATGATATGGGAAAGACTAGAATTATCGATTTTCCTGGAAATTTTCAAAATTAGATCTGAAAAACCTCAAAAAATCAAATTTCGGAATTTTATTTTTATTTTTGACAAAAATTTTCGATTTTCAACCGGAAGTGCATGTTTTAGGCCTACGAAAACCTCAGAAATGCGCTCAAAATGCTTTAAAACCCTTAAAAATTCATTTTGGTCATTTTTCAAAAAAGTGTCTAGATGGCCAAGTGGGATTTTTCATGGAATCTACGGATCTGAAGGTCGCGGGCTCGAACCCCACCGGTGACAATTTTTTTTTGTTTTGTGTGTGGGCATAGAAAATGATAAAATATAGTCTAGGATTAGGATTTTTCTGGAAAATCTAAAAATTTTCGGCAGAACAATTCAAAAAACCCCTAAAAATTTCAGATATCGATTTTTTGAGCCTGAAACTTGGGGTTTTAGTGTTTAAAAACATAAAAAATGCGCCTAAAACAATAAAAAACCCCTACAAACCCTAAATACTTCGATTTTTCTGCATTTTTCAAAAAAGTGTCCGGATGGCCAAGTGGGATTTTTCATTAAATCTACGGATCTGAAGGTCACAGGTTCATATCCCACCGGTGGCACCTTTTTTTGTTTTGTGTGAGGACCCGAAAAAATGATAATCAGTTGCCTAGAAATTATGATTTTTCTGGAAAATCTGAAAATTTTGGACTAAAAAACAGAAAAAAATCCCGAAAACCCAAATTTTCTCGAAAAATCGTTATTTCCAGACATCCCACTATCATTTTCAAGGCCCACACAAAAAACCAAAAAAAATATCGCCGGCGGGGTTCGAACCTGTGACCTTCACATCCATAGATTTCATGAAAAATCCCACTTGGCCATCTGGACACTTTTTCTAAAAATGCTCAAAAATGGATTTTTAGGCAATTTTAGGGGTTTTTAGGGGTTTCTAAGGGATTTTTGATAGTTCTAAACTTATTTTTGTGGTTCAAAAGTCTCAAAAAGGACATTTCCAAACAGTTTTTTCGGGTCAAATTTGACCAAAAAAGATTTTATTCACTATCAGGCTAATTTTCGTCTTGAAACTTCAATTTTTGCTAAAAATGCTCAAATAAAGTTTGGAAAACGTCATTTTTTTTCTATTTTCAACTAGGGAGAAAAAGACACTTACCTCCATCGCGATTCTCATCCATAATCCATTTTGGCGTTTTTCCATTTTTGTACAATTTGATAATTCCCATTCTTATCACCGTTTGGTTCACTTCAAAACACGATTCATCCGTTTCGAAATATTCAAATTTTTGAGGAATTAATTTGTTGATATTTCGAATTGAAGGACAGCGTTGAGCGAATTCCAGTCTGAAAATTTCAGATTTACAGATTAAAAATTAAAAATTAGGCTTTAAAACTGAATTTTAGCCCAAAATTGGTAATTTTTGACTTTAAACAACTCCAGAACAAAAAAATCTCACCTAACCATTGGATCCATAAATGACAATATTGATTTTTGGGCTTCATACGGTACCGGCTTGCTCAATGACATCTGAATTTAGAATTTCCAGATTTTTTCAAAAAATTTTTTTTTGTAAAAAAGGTTCCAAACGAGCTAAAAATCAATTTTTCTAGCTCCGCACAAAAATAAAAAAATGTTGAACCCAGGAAGGAATCGAACTTTTGGCCTTCTGCACCGTAAATTTCGGTGCGAAAACCCACTGAGCCATTTGGCACAATTTTTTGAAAAACGCGTTTTTTGGCTGCTTTCGACCGTTTTTTATGGATTTTTTGGTTTTTGTGCTGTTTTGGATACTTTTTTTCATCATTTTAAGCATAATTCGGCAAAAAAATTTCAGCAAAATTTCTTTTTCCAAAATTTCAAAAAATTAATTTCCAGACATTTTCATGGTCCTAATACTGAATTTTTCTAGCTCCGCACAAAAATAAAAAAATGTTGAACCCAGGAAGGAATTGAACTTCTGGCCCTTGGCACACTTTTTTGAAAAACGCGTTTTTTGGCTGTTCTTAGCGAATTTTTAGTGTTTTAGTTAATTTTTTTGCGAAATGTAAGATTTTTTCGACAGAAAAAAGGCAAAAATAGGTTCAAAATCTATTGAAATTGTGGTTTTAAAGACATTTTGAGACTAGAAAAGTCATAAAAACAGCTGAAACAGAATAAATCTCAAAGAAAAGGAAAAAACGGGAAAAAAGAAACATAGAACACAGAGATCTATTGATTTTCCGGTGTTCTACCGGGGGGCAAAACGTGTCTGACGTGTTTTGCGACGTAGAGTGAGAGAGAAGAGACGCAGACATCTTGCCAGGGGGACACACAGGGGCCGAAGTGTCGGTTGGCGCATTTAGGTGCATAGATCAAATTGGAAAATTAGAAAATTAGAAAAAAAGATTAAAGAATTTTCAACCAAAATAAAATTTTCCAAAAAATTATGTATTTTGGACCCATTTTCAATTATCACAAAGATAATCGCAGAATTTAAGAATTTTTTAGATTTTTCGAAAAAATCGGACCAGTTGGAAAGAAATTAGAATAACTGGACACGGAGCTAACTATTTCTCAGAGTATCCATATAAAGGGTGAAGACACTGGGATACTGTCAATCGTCATTTCCCAAAAGAAAGAATACAGTAATCCTCCAACTGGTACCATTTTTTGGTACTTGTGCAATTCTGAAATTACTAAATTTCCTTCAGTTAGATAACCTGAGTTTGTTTTAATTATAATTTTGTATTGATTCAAATGGCCAAGTTAATCACTTAAAAAAGAAACAGGATTACAGGTAATACGAATACAAGAATATAATATTATAACAAAATACACCGTAAAACCTCTAATAGAA